TGATCCATCTGCTGAAAACATAGATTTATGTTACACTTCTCCACCTTCCTGTAGGTCTTTGCCTGTTTTCTAAATTTAATCCAGATGCATTTTATTATCATTATAATTGTACTTTAGAATGACACATTTTAGATATTTTCCACATGCTGTTATTACATCAGGGAGCTCTGGTGGCCTAGTGACAAGAAGCTGTACTGCAGTCTCAAAGACACAAGGTTCAAGGGCACCAGTTGCTCCACAGGAGAAGGCCTCCTTCTGTGCAATTAGCTGTCTCAGAAAACCCACTGGAGGGTCAGCTATGAGCCAGCTCTGGCTCTATGGTACACAACAACAACAACAACAACAATTATTACATCCCAGTAGACAGTCCTAGAAACATATTTTAGTATCTTTTCACTTTCACTGTATTCTGCTACACATTTCTGAAATTATATTTGCAATGTATTTCATTGTGGTCTATTGAGAAATATACTTTCATTGCTGAGCCTGGTAACTTACATTACACCCTTCTTACTAGTTACCATCACTGTAGAGACGGACAACTAGAGATTAATCCTCATCTTCATCATCTAATGAAATCTTAATTTATAGCCTGACAATTATGTTGTACAACTTACTATTTAATGTGAGTATAGGTTTTGCATGAACACAATCAAGTGTTCTGGGATTCCCATTTTCCTCAAGTGTAGCCGCAGTGCATTGAGATCCACAGAGTCAAATGTCTTTGCAAAGTCAATGAAATACAGTTAGACATTTTTCTGGCACTCTTGGCTTTTCTGCCAAGATTCATCTGATGTTGGTGATAATGTCTCTCATACAATGACTTCTTTTAAACCCAGTATGTATTTCTGGTAGTTCCTGTCTCCCTACCTTTTTAATCCATATGCAGAACAGAGTATTTTGGAGGCTGAGCTTTATGAGGAGGAATGTGGCATTGGATTGGAGGGAGACTCATCAACAACCTACATTATGCAGAGGAAACAACCTTTGTTGCTGAAACTGAGTGTAGGTGTGTCAGAATCAGTGAGACTGGCCCAGGACAGGACAGGTTTCAAGATGTACATAGGATCACTAGGAGTTGCAGGCAACTCAACAACACATAACAACATCAACAAATGTTAATCTTTTCCAATTCTCTATCTTATAGTTTCTCCTGACATATATACTTTCAAATACTTATTTTAGTTCTTTCTTTTTCATATCTTGATATTTTGAAGATATAAGGACCTATGACATACTAAAAATAAAATAGTTTAGAATGAAATTGAGTGAGTATTTCCTATTTTCATTAATAAAGACTTTTTTCCCCGTGATATTGTTACTATTACCTGCATCAAATTGGAACCAATTCATAGGTGACTCTCGAGTGGGTTTCCAGATGATCGAAATCACATAAGAGGAGATAGCCCATCTTTCTCCCACAGAGCAGTTGAAGGGATAAAACTGCCTGCCTTTGGATTGTCAAAGTAACTTCTTAACACTAGGCCACCAGAGCGTACTATTACTTGGGTAATATAAGATTCTTTTACCCAGGCAAAATAATCTGAGAACGTTGATTCATATGTTAACAATGCCTGTAGTCATTCTGGAACAAGTACGGAGGCAATACATTACCTTTGCTTATTTGTGTAGGATAAAAAGAGGAAAATATTGGTTATTATAGTGTAATCGTTGTACTGTACTCATCCACCATAATTTTCCACCCAATATTGTCCTTCAGATAACAATCTTTGAAATTCACTTTTAAAGGAAATTGAGATCTACTAAGTATGAATACTTGACCAACTTTAAGCTTTTTGACTGCTTGTATATGTTTTTAAATGAACTTGTAGTTGCTCTCTGACTCCATAAATGATGATTTATTTATTATTCAGTAATTACTTAAACTGTCTTTTAAGTCTTTTATTCTTGCTCATCAGAAGTAAATAAGATAATATAGATAATCTATACCACATGAGAAGAATGAGAATCCTAGAACATTTAATTGTGCTAATACGAAAACTGTACTTGGACCAGGAGGCAGTCGTCACAACAGTGCAAGAAAAACCTACGTGCTTCAAAATTGGAAACAATTTACACCAGGGATGTGTTCTATCTCCATACCTTTCAAATCTATATGCAGAACAGATCATCTGGACGCCTGGGCTCTGTGAGGAGGAAGGAACGTGACATCAGGATTGGAAGAAGACTCATCAGCTTCCT